ACAGTCCGAAATGTTATAGAGAAAGATAACATAGTGGCTACTAGCTAGTAGCTAGCAGGTGAGGGTCGGCATGGGCCTAAGGGGTGTCCATGGGCCTAATTAGTCAGCTTCTAGCGGAGTTCTTGCCGTTTTTCACATTTTGAAAGTAGCGCAGCCTCAAAAATCGCCTTCCGGATCGTCCGACACATTTGAGAGGTCATAGCCTTATTTTATCGCGGAATGTGCCTTTAAAATGCCCATTCCACTTCCAATGAGTATTGCTGTGGCTTACTGAATAAGATATGGGCCTGTACAATGGCTTGCGGCGGACACCCGATGACAAGCCAGTGTTCCTATCATCCCAGTCAAATCTGGTGCTAACCGACTGCCCCAGGAGGGTGAAAGGCTTGCTCGGCCTTGTTACAAGACAACATTACCCTTTTTTCCTGGTTCTGTCGCGAAAGTATTCAACGCATACAAATAGAGCCCAGCGGCTACCAAAGTATATCTATAAAAATATGCGGCACGCTAGGTGATGGGCTTTTGGAGACTCCGGAGTCGGTGAGTAACTTGTCATTTGTGAAAAGCTAGGAGGGTAGTCACAAGGACAGTGGCATGTCCAAGCTGACCAGAAGGTGTAAAAAGAGAAAGGGGACGTGCTCAAAGGGGTTGAAATTGTTTATAGACCTGGTGGCCTTGGTAGGAGCTGATCCCATATTTGATCCCGCGCTCGTGAACAATACCACCTTGCCACTACACCACCTTCGCCTCATACCGTTACTTACTTGGGATCATTGCATCCTATCATCAAACATTTTATTGCCATTATTGCGGCAAGGTGGAGATGGTGCTGCCGTGAGAGGCACCACTTGCCAAGAACCTTGGGATTGTATACCATTAACTAATATTACACAACATCATTTCAATGTCGTTTCATATTGTGATTATAATGTGTTATATACTATTCTGTTCTTATTATTTTATTGCGGCTGTCATTCTAAGCTCGGGGTGCTGCGGCGAGGGCAGCACGAGTTACACTCCATATCCGTTAGATGCGGTAGGCGTGGTTGCGTACTTCATTTGAACGTAGCGACGGCTTTTGTTTTTCGTAAGATATTGCCGTTGTGAGACATTTCTAATCATGCCTCAAGACGAATGTCGTCTTAGGTGGAAAGATCCTAAAATTCCTGTCTTACATCCCTGTTCAAAGGAAGCACGCACCCACGCCCTTCTTATTTACGGGATAGTGAGTGCAGTAGCTAGTTACTAGGAACCATTAGTTCCAGGGCGCAGACGAGGATTTCAGTGACTAAACTGCACAGTTTCTCGTAAATTCCTTAGCCTCTCGATCTGTGGACTATCATGAAATCTAGTTAGGGACTATGAAAATTAAGTGGCTCTTTGCCGGTTAGTCCTAGCGGATCATTTTCTGGATCAAATCGCATATGAAATGCTCATTAGTGGATTAGGGTGAGTAGCAAACTCCAGAAAGAGGCTGATCAAAGTCTCAATTTCATTTTAGTTGCCGCGATCTTCGAACCTCAAGGTAAAGATCCCCAAGAGAGCCTATCAATAATAAGTGGGTGAGAAGTGCCCTGATAACACACTCACTGGGGAAGCGTGAGTTCGAGTCTTGGTTGGGGTCGGGGCTTTTGGCAATAACTCAGCCGTCTCGTGATAAATACGCTACAGAAAATACCGCAATATTCGTGACTAGATGAGTCGAGACAGGTACTTGCTTCGACGAATTAAGACCGTCAAGTTTCCAAATTACCGTTATTTTATCTAGAATAGGTCCTCCAGGGCCGAAGTAAGGAGCAAATTGGCAATCGGCACCCGAACGCGCAACTTCATTGGGACGTCCTTGAGCACAAGGAGGTTTAAAAGATAATCTCCGCGTTCGAGCAACGCGTAGGCCTCTTTCCTTGTACTAGTTATCTGGCCTTCACTCTCCAAGATTATCCCTTTTTCGCGGCTTCACAATAAGTAACGAAGGCGCTGCGGCCCTCAGAAGGGGCGATTATGACGATATCCTTGTCGTCCACCAAAGTTCATATTATTTCATTTTCTTCAGCGCGTTCTTCGTTTTTTTTTCACTGTTTAGTGGCTAAGCAGCTGTTGGTTTCGGGATGTGGCTAGGGCCGGGCATATGTACGCTTTTGCTGGCAGAAATCTGGCAGTTCCGGAAAAACTCATATAGGATTTGCAAGTCCGTTTACAAGGGAATTTTCTCAGTAAATTTTCATGTTTTCCTCCCTGGAGATGTCTTCAGGAGCTATGGATCTGCTGTTCGTAATCTGAGCGGTTTCTATCGTTATACTCAATCGCAGGATGTGTCTTGGTGTATGGAAGGAATAAGTGAGCCCTTTTCTATTATTATACATGAATTAATATTATTCATTAACAAACATTTTTTGATGTTGAGGGTGAGACTGCCCCGAACTGGTTGGTTCCTTGTCTAATGTATAATGTACTTCAGATCGAACGATATTTTCGAGAAGAAGTTGTTGAGAAGACGCTCTTTGAGAATCGATCGGAGCCTTTCCCTCATCTCTTTACGATATTTTCCGATTTTTCTTTAGAAAGGTTGCGTTCCGGTTGGCACCCATTTAGCACGGAGAATCGAGATGTAGGAGGAAAACTGAGATTTTTTCAAGCTCAGCGAAGGAGAAACGCATTATGTCCATTCGAAAAGTCGAAGAATATGACAACAATGTATGTACAGGATTTCCTTCTCGCAGGTTCTTTGGATCCCTGCAGTTCCGCGATTCTCCGATCCCTGAGCGTCGCAAGACAAGAATGCGACCTTTCGAAATTTACCAGGTGCAATACGAGAACAAGAATTCGTTCCCATTGTTTGCGCATGTGGTTGCCAAGTAATTACTCGATGTAGAGCGTAAAACGAATCCCGCAATTCACGCCGGTTGCTGCAATAATGAACGGAACTGAAACAGTGGGGAATGACGTCTCCATGGAAAGTATGGTGTTAGTTAGTACCACCAAGGAAAAGAGGAAGGGGAGAAACATGCTCTGAGTTCCCAACCCTAAAAGGAGAACATTCCCACAAGAGCGCCCTCAACTTCGTCACAAGGCTGATGTCTTCGTGGCTCATACCCTCTGGGAAGTGGTTCACATTAGCTCACTCTGGACTTCTCCACCTTAATGCTTTTTTACACCACAGGAAGCACGTTAGGAATTTGCTATTTCATTTGTAGGGAGGCATTTCAGTGTGCACGGTCTACGGTTACTGTATGCGCGGAGACCATCTATCTCGATTTTCTCATTTGTGCACCTTTCCACTCTACCGGTATGTCCCAGTGGGGAAAGCACGATGACTGACTGCCCCACCCATGTCTCCATTTACAACCAGGGCACTCCCTGCGCTAAGGGAATTTTCCGGAACGACCACCTACGACTTTTCCAGTTTCACTGATTTTCCCTAACATCTTACCATAGTTCCCGGAACGGAACCTCCCGAAAATTTTCATTTTTTCACCAAAATGCCGCCTAGGGAGGGGGATATATAGCGCTTATGAAACGGGTATATGAAACGGAAGAAACTACCAAAAGTCAACAGCCGAACAGCTGGAAGAATTTCATTCCAACCTTCAAATTTCTCGCATAAGCAAATACGATCCCCCAACCCCATAATTCTCCCAACAATGTGAATTGCGCCCGTGAAACGGAAAAGATCACCTATCAACGAAAATTTTCTTAGCCGAAGTAGGTACAGCACAAGTACCTCCTTCCCCCAGCGACCAAGCGGACCTTCCCGGGGATTTTCCCCGCAAACGACAGTCACCGTGAAAGGGCGTAGGTTGGCTCGCTGCAGACTCAGTATGGCATCATTGAAGGAAGGGCCGCCTTTCCAACACTCCAATCCACGCCCCTTATAGTACTCTGGTAGAGTGCTCTCTGAGGAAAGGTCTTTCAGGTCATGAAGAGCTTAAAGAAGGCGGTTTGTTATGTTGTAGGGTTGCATGCACGGAAAACAAGAGTGCAGTTCACTTCCCCTGTGACACACTCGTAACAAAAAAAAACCAATTTCTCCGTTCTCCAGAGCCTGAGTTTTAAGGGGCTTCAGCAGGGAAATCACCCGTGAGATGGGAGTAGATCAATGATGGCTTCCTTTCTGTTCGCTCTGAAGCTGTCAGCTTGAACTGTGATTGCCACCAAGTCTCCCGACTTTGACAAAAGTTTGAGGGTTTACAGAGGTCTGGGGCAGCAAACCGTAGTCGTCCACACTTCCATCTCTCAGCAATCACCTTTTCAGGAAACTCCTCTGAACCTGATGGAGTCGACATACCACGCTTCAATGTGACACTCTCTCTAGGCTTTCTGAAAGTCCTGCGCCTTGTAAGTTCATCCCCTAGAACAGTCACCTCGGCTCAAACACTTTTTTTAGGTCGAACCCGAACAGAAAATTGACTTTTATTTTCGAATATCAACTGGTGAGTGTTGAACTATGAGAGATGTGAAAGGGATGTAATGAGATGTGTATGGTGTTCACGTCAACTGTCAAGTCCCTGTGATGCGGTAGGCGTGGCGGCGTCCTCCTTTTAGACATGGCATAAGAAGGGCTGGTCGCGATAATCCTATTCGGACAACAGAACCTTGTCTGGGGTTTGATATGATATGCTAAAAGTTGTCCTTAAACGAAAGTATTTCACCAAAGGCGTGGCCGCCGCTACGATCACATGAAGTGTGCTGCTACGCGTACCGCAGCTTAGGGAGTTGGAGAATACAATACACGTCGCGAAAGCGGGAGTGGGCGAGTTGTAGTGAGACAAAACAACAAACTCGATTTACCTGTCGTGTTTTACAAACTTCTTGACAATTTGAGGACTGGGATGACGAGCGGCTCGTATGGGATCCCGCAGAGCACTGTGGAATCAAATACATTCACGTGCCTTCGAGCGAAGTCTGGATCCCAGAGGTGACCGTGACTCAGGCGTAGGTTATCGTTTCATTATTATAAACCAGAACACTCTGATGTGTCCAAAGCATTCTACACTTCCCCCCTAGAAGTCTTTCAGTTGGTATCTCAAAAAAGAAAGCGTAAGCAAATTGGGTTGAAAAGAAAGTCGTGCAACGCATTGACCAAAATTTTGGACAAAGCGTTCCCTTTGCTAACTGACTCTGACGCGCATCTGTATGGGAAGGGAATCATCATTGGTTGGGGATTTTAGTCGACTCTATACGACCCCCCCTTTTTTTGGGAGTTGGTACGACCCCCCCCCCCCAGCCCTCTGTCCTTCCTCATCGAATCGAGCCGTCGAGCGGGGGTAATAGTACGTGAAACAGGAAAATCACCAAAAGTCAACCGCCACTCCCACAACGCCAAAACGTAAATACGACCCCCCCTCCCAAAAATGATCAAATACGACCCCCCTCCCTTTACAACGTCCATGAAGCGAGAAAAATCTATCAAAATAAATTTTTCTCAGCCCAAATACGACCCCCCTCCTCCTGGCGACCAAATACGACCCCCCTATTGGGGATTCCCCAACAACGATGTGCCCTGAAGGGAATTCTCGATTACGGTAGCGGCAGTTCACCGACTGCTAAATCTCTCCTATTCTACCACTAGATATCAGCGAATATCTTGGAATAATTCTTCGTTTATTAGTATCTGTGATGAACTTTTTGAAAAATCTTAGTTCTGTGAGAGACCTTCTTTAGTATATGTTCAAACCACAGCCATGATAGCAGCACAGCTTTGTTTGGTTTACATTTCTGCTGACTCGTCCACTCCACTGAGCCTAGAAAGCCAAAGATAGAGTCACATATCAATCCGGACCGACGCCAAGCTCACTGTGAATAAGTCCAGGAAGGGCTCGAAAGGGGAGGGAGGGGGGCGAAAACGCAGCTGCAAAATTTCAGCACAGGAAAACAATCCTCATCTTAATCTTTCCTGGTTTCTGGGTTTCTGGTTATACTGGAGACGTCTCTGCTACTTCTCATACCCCCCCCCCAACACTCTGTTTACACTGGTTACACTGATATCACGAAATGATTAGCCCCTAGAGAATATAAGTAGAAATTTAACAACTTCAACTTCATTCTTGCAGCCTGTCTTCGCAAGACTTTCGAGAGGACCACAAGAAGTACGTAACTGTAAGTACTCCCATCAAGAAGCTGAACCAGCGAATTAGTACAACCGAATTTACCAAGGAACATTCCAAGTTCAGGCGAAAACTGCTTTCAGATAAACAGCACCGGACATTTGGTATTCTTTGTGGCTACAGTAACTTCAGTCCTATGCACCATTAAGGTACGCTTGATGATAACTTATGACGACAATTTTAGGTCCACTACAGTCGTGATCCCTGCCAGCGACAGGGCGAGTGACGCAAAGCTGCGTTTATACTTTGCGGCAGCGCCAGCGTTTCACCAGCGTTTTGCTAGCGTTTGCAGCGGCAGGGGAGTAGAGACTATGGGAGAGCTGGAGGGTACAAAACACATCGATTGCGCGTCTCTCACTCGCCCTCAGTCTCTACAATACACATCGATTGCGCGTCTCTCACGGCCACATAGTCTCTACAATACACATCGATTGCGCGTCT